CTAAATTGAAAGTAGATGAATATATGTGTAATACAATTTACTCTCACCCTTCATTCCAGTCCCCCTTCTTATGCCCCTGTAATGTACAGGAAACCACGTTTTAAATTTTGTGAATAATCAGATGTGGTTTTATCTGAGATTATTTGGTGGTATTAATGTGTTTATAATTGATTGAAATTTTTGTGTTACACTGATATGAAGATGATACCTTCTCTAAAATTTTGAATCAATTTAGTTTTGGCTGTTTAAAATTGGCCAATCAAAACACCATGTGGAGCAGATGGAAGGTAATATCAGCGATAATACATCTGGTATAATGGGATCAACATCACTGAATGACAAAGTCAAATTTTACCACGTTGCGAAAAACAAAATCACATATTTGTTTTTATTATATCTTTCTAAAAATGTTGATACATACAGCAAATAGAAAATTACGTCTATTTGATTCAAAATTAACAAGTCCAGGTTGTTCAATAGTAATCGCCAAAATAAACAGTTTTGAAATAACATAGGCTATTCAATGTGTATACTTAATCAAAAACACCCTTGATACCATAGAAAAGCATGTATATTGTTTCACAGAAACTACTGTCCAAAGGGATTTTTGTCTTCTTAATTTCACGGGATAAACGTCCCAAGGTTATTTTGTTTACTAGAAGAAAATGTTTTTTGGCAGCATTTCTTGTGTTAAATTCCATTGCGAAAAAACAGCAACTACTGTTACTGAAGCACATAATTTGCATGTATTTTTTTCCTGCCATTCACGCAAACTGCATCCATAGTTGTTGACACTTTGCTGCCGCCATGAAGGATGTATTGTGACGTATATTGACCCCCAGATTCTGACCTTGCATTCTGGCAACATTTACTGCCATTTCATACCAGCTCAATTTCCTTTCATTATTACATCCAGATTCTATGATATTTAATATTTTAAACCAACCTTCATTTCACAGTCACTCTAGTTTTCACTAAAATTATTTTACTGATTAAAAGACTTATCACTTCCATCACACAATCCCCCGAAGTACTTCCGTAGACACAGCGACGATCACAAACATAACTACAAATAACCTTCGCTCTCGGGAGCTGGGGAATAACAACTT